ATATATGCTTAGAAATCCAGACTTTGATACATCTATGCTTCTTAAAAAACAACAGCATCTTTAAGTTAACCATAACTGTTCTTCATAAACAAAAACTCTATCAAAATTCCTACTTATTCAAATGAGCAAAATATATTGTGTGCAGCAAGTTAAACTAGAAACTGAAGTATTAGGAAATGTGAACATACTCATAAATATTCCCCTGCACTGGGTGCATTTTGTTCTATTTTAAAAGCAGGCAGAATTTAAATACTGGTATTGTATTTCTCCTTGAATTTTTATACAGAACATATTTATGGTCTTTTGGCTTTTCATGAAGTTACTGCATGCCAAAATAATAGAAGTATTTCCAGCACAAAAATTTTCATATTTCAATAGCCTTAGTATCTTGTGTGGAAATCAAGACCTGAGAAAAAATTGATCTACTTGAACTACTAAAGATCACAGTCTGCTTGGAGTAACTACTAGTATGCTACAACATCAAACATTAGCCCCAGCCAGCCCCCACTTACTGTACAGGAGTTTATCTGCTCAAGTCAAATATTACGCCAGTATGGATAATGTGTCCTTCTTATTTTTCCATTGCTTACTTTTCTATCTTTCATTACAATTAGTATAGTTGCATACCCTAGTTGGACTGAAACTGTTGTGTTTTCATGTAATTAATCTTGCTATCATCTTAGGTGAGAGGTTTTAGTAAGGATTGGTGTCCTGACAATACACCTTCTTCTGAGGCATCACCTTGAGTCCTGGGTGCAATTTTGGCACCACAGTATGAGATGGATACAAAGATATTGGAGAACATCCAAAGAAGGCCACAAAGAGGTGAAAGAGCCTAGAAGGGAAACCATATGAAGAGCAGCTGAGATCACTTGGTCTGTTCAGAAGAGACTCAGGGGAGACATCAATGTGATTTTCAAATCCTCATGAGGGGAAGAGAAGGGGCAGGTACCAATTTCTTCTCTGTGGTGACCAGTGACAGGACTCAAGCGAATGACATGAAGCTGAGTTGAGGAAGGTTTAGGTTGAGTATCAGGAGAAGGTTCTTCCCCCAAAGGGTGGCTGGGCACAGGAACAGGCTCCCCAGGGAAGTGGTCACAGCGCCAAGCCTGACAGCACTCAAGAAGTGTTTGTAAAATGTCCTCAGGCACATGGTGTGATTTTTGGTGTGGTCCTGTGCAGAGCCAAGACTTGGGCATGCTGATCTTTGTGGGTCCTTTCCAATTCAGTACATGCTATCATTCTGACTTATATAGTCAGTGTAACTCATGTTTTTTCTTGGACTCTTACTGGCATTGGGAGAGACCTGCATTGGGAGCAAAGTTAAAGGAACGGACTAGCTAAAACCATTTTCCTTTCACCCTAAATTATGCTATATGGACACACCTCCTCAAAGGCATTTTAAAAGTAGGTAAGTTTTCTGAGTATCTGCTGAAGAGGACTTCAGTACTTTGGTTGTTATTATTACTTTGTGTTAGTTATCTCTGAAAGTTCTTCTTTAATAAAATATTGAGTCTTCTGGAAAGCAACAAGCTGTTCCCTTGATGTTTGGGATCTATGTGCCCTAACCATTTCTCTTTCAGAGGTGACAATGGCAAAAACATGTAAAGTGAAATGAACAGAGCTTAAAATGGCAGCATCTGTTGCTGAGACAGATATTGATGTGTAATTCTAGTACATTCCTGTGACATAGGGACCTCACATGATGCTTCAAAAATTCCTTTACTTGTTCACATTTACTATAAGGATTAGAGCTGTAGAGGAAAAAAACAAAAAAACAAAAAAACAAAACAAAACAAAACAAACAAACAAACAAACAAAAAAAAAACCAAAAAAAAACCAAACAAAAAAAACCATAAACCAAAAACAAAACAAAAAAACCCTTCTCTTTTTATCTATTCGAGTTTTAAGACTTAAGAAATTGCCACTGCACTTTGACATGAAACAGAGAGCTCCCCAAATACTCTAGAAGTGGCAGAACTCTTGCCTGCTAACATCAAATACTGAATGAATTCCTTATTTTGCTTCACCTATGTGAAAAGCTTTTCCTTGACCTAATGATTTATCTTTATCTCAAATTTTCTTGCTTTTGTGCTTCTGATTCTTTCCAACACCTCACTGGGGAAGAGTGAATAACCAGATGTTCGGTACTTAGCTGCCTACCGGGGTTAAAATATGTCACCCCTGTATCTTTTAAAATAATTTAACAAATGTGCATTTTACCAGAGAGAAGGATTAAAATTAAACCACATAATTTTTTTTGTTTACTAGTATAAATGTTGCCTTAACTAGACTGTAAAAGACATAGGAACTTTTATATCCCATATGTCGTTCTCTAGGACATTAGTTAGTCTGGTACCAGAGATATCTTCTACTGAATAATGTTTCAAGTATCCTACACAGTTCAATAGGGTAATCTCTATCCAAGTATGTTTGCATACAGTTCCCATATACCTGTAGAAATTAGAAGATCTGTCTCAATAAAACAATGAAAGAGAAAAAATAAATTATGGATAAATCTATGAACAATCTTAAAAAGTGTTATAAAAGGTTTTAAGATAAGGAAAAAGTATGCAATTAAAGTAGTACTTTAAACTCTGGTTGGTGAGTTTTCTTGGGATTCAGTTCCTTTTAGCAGTAGTAAGATTATTTTAATTAAAGGACTTTTCTATGAAGTTAGAATGGTGTCTGACATGCCAAATCAATTCCTGCCAATATGATTGCTCTACACACAAGGAAAGATAGCAATAAATTAGAGGAAGCTTATTCAAGGACAATTGGTCTACTGTGCAGGACCTGAGAAATTGCTGATATGGATTGTTTCAATGTCATAAGATGTATTACTTACAAGTACTATCCTAGAGTCAAAGGTTTTTATCCACTTTCAGAGAAGAAAGAAATGAAAATGAAAATAAGAAACTAATTATAGAAGGAAATTTAAAGCACAAAAATAATGACAAAAATTCACTGGAAAAAACCAAATATTATAACCCTTTATTCTGTGAGCATTTGAATTTAACATGGGGACATTTTAATGAATAAATTACCAAAAATATTATACATAGAAACAGAAATAAATCTGTGGTTTAAAATTTCATATGTATATGTTAAGTTTCAACAAGGTTTTGTTAAAGAGTATGTAACCAAACTGAAGTGGGTTTATTACTTTTTAAATCAAAGTTCTGCTTTTCACAGCTGAGAATGTTACATCATGTCATATTTTGTGTTCCCTAAGATGTCTGTTCCAAACATGATTTGAATGTTAATGCAAAAGCTGAAGCTGTAGTGTTTATAATTTAAAAACACAATTAAGAACCAATAGATGTGAAACTACAATAGCTTTTCTGGTTTTAGAAATTATTTAATTAAAAGTCAAGTAGATGTACCAAAATTGCTATGACAATTCTCTTCCCTCTTCCCCTTTTAAAATACATAAATGAGACAGTAAGAGGGTATCAGTGAAACTTTTTAGGGATCAAGACTGAAGAAGTAACTGGCTATTTAAAAGCAGAAAAAGTTAAAAAAATTATATTGCAATTTATAGAACTCATTACAATTAGAATCCACCAAACTAAATTAATCTTGTCCTCTTAGCAAAATATACCTGAACAACAAAGTTGTTTCCACTTGAATTCACCCATGATTCAGTGTTTAGCAAGGTTCGATCTACTAATTGCATATATTTATTGCCATTTATTGTAAACTGTTTAATTTTTGTTTCATGATCATATTGTATGCTAGAAACCTGAAATTATCTCAAAAGCCTTAAAGTATTGTAGTGAAACATTACTTTTATTAAAAAATCCATAATTTTAGGTGTCACACCAATTTAAGAAAAAAGTCAAGCATAGATTGCAAAAATTAAACACTGAAGGAGAGAATGGAGTAGTGAAAAGAAAAACTGATAGTTAAAACTCTGGGTTTATTAAACTATTATTTCTTTTTCAATGGTAGTAGATTTAAAGTCTTTTTTTCTCTGTGTATTGCTATCAGTTCTTTAGACTAAATTAATTTTCATTATTTCAGCAATAAACATTGTTCCTATATTTCAAATTGTTATTTTCAAAGATCTCTTAATATTTCTGGCACTTATCTTTAAATTGATGTACATACGGTTAATGTGTCTTTCCATAATATTACCTAAACCTGCAGTGAATAATATTTGAATCTTCTCTTTCAATTCCCTCTCTAGACAAATATTAGTGGAGGATTTTACAATCCAACTTCAATGAGCTTCTATTTAAAGGATAAGGCTGGAGGAAAAAATCAGAAGTTATTTTCTTTGCCACTTAAAAAAAAAAAACCCGTGTTTAATATAAGCTACTTTTTTTAGGCTTTTTGTTTTTTGTTTTTTTTTGTTTTTTTGGTATCTAATTAAAAGAGAAACGCTGCTGAAGAAATTGTGTCAATGACTGACAAATATGACACAGTGGTTATAATCCTTCTCTGAAAAACTAATTTACTGACAATAGAGAATCTCAAAGACTAGGTTTTAGTAAAGTAAAATGAATCAATTAATCCCACACCAAATTAAATTTCATAAATCAGTTGTGGTCCACTAAGGTATTTAATAGAAGGTGGAATTCAGCTCTCAAAACTAAGGAAAGTTACCTGAGTAAATACAGACTGATACAAACTAACAAACGTGCTGAACTCCATTTCTCTCATTAATTAGACATCCAGGAACTATAATTAGACGTCAGACAAGTAGCTCACATGCAGAACTTTCCTACACTTAGTCTCTTAAACTGAAGCTAAAGCTTATTCTAGGATTATTCTTACTGTAACCTTAATTGGAAGATTCAAAAGTAACCTGTAAATTCCATTCAGATTTTATAGGCATCACAGCAGGGAGTAGAAAATGCAAAGAGGTGTGATTACTCTCCAAGTACTTCTTTATACCTTTTTCTTTTTTTAATTCTTATCTTCAGCATTCTTATATTTGAATATTTAAAAGGAAATGAAACTACAAGCTTCTACATGATTTGTATATGCCTTACCTGTAAAATCATGAGGACACAAACACTGAAACAAAGGTTGTTCTCCCAGTTGACTCATATCAATGCAAGTTGCTCCGTCAGAACAATTATTTGGATAAATTAAACATGCATTTTCAACGAATTGGCAAAATTCTCCTGTCCATCCAGGCCCACAGAGGCACTAGATATAACACACAAAGAAACACAGAAAATCCAAAATGAAAATGTAATGTGAAAGTTTGTAGAATTTTCTTTGGGTCTTGTATTTTAGCAAGTAAAAGTGTGGTAGAATGCAGAGTGTTGTACCCAGCTGAGACTATTCTTCATACATGCCTGTATTTGCAGATGATAAAACAGTTGACAGAAGCAAAACTCATCTACTATGTCTGTTGAAAAATTGGGGGAAAAAAGGACATATGAGTTGGAGGATATGGTGAGATAATTACTGACTGTGAGGAAGAAAAACGCCAGCAGGAGCAGAAGAACTGAGTGTGCAGAAAGGATTCTAAAGGGGTAGACATAGGGGAGAAATTGGGCAGTGATGATAACAAAGCATGCAAGACCACACTGTCACTAACCAGTAATCAGAAAACATAGTACAGGGTTTCTGTTATACATGCAGACTCTACCTGTTAAATAAAATAAATTAAAATGGTTTATCCAGAGGAAAGGGAAAGATCTGAAGCTTATATTAGCTTCTCAAAAGAGTCCTGTGAAACTCATACAAGTGCCCTGATCAAATATAATCAATAGTAGCTTGCCTTGAATCCCATTATAAGGGCAATAAAACAGTATAGCCAACAGTAGCATGCCAGTATTTTAGAGCACTGGAATGGTGTACCAGGTTCACAATGTATAAACATTTTATATTAGTATGCGTACCTGTGACCACCAAAGACAGACACATGCATTGTAGTGACTAAAACAAGTAAAAAGAAAGTTGCCAAAGAACAAGATTAGCATACGGCACAGAAAATAGGCAGAATATATTGCTGACTACAGAAAAAAATTACTGTAAAAAGCCCCAAGGCAAGTAGTACCAGGAGGAGACCATCATTTTTTGAAGGGCAGGGGGAGTTCCTCTGGGGGGAGATAAAATATTGCAAACCTCAAATATGTAGAGGAAGGATGGAGACAGAAGCCAACCCCAATTCAGTAATGAGTTCTCTCATCAAAGAGCTCATGACATAGATTTCCTTGACCTTTGTTGTAAAGTACCACCAGGGACTACAGCTGTCAGCACTAACTCTTCGGCATCAGCTCCACAGAACTGTGTGATCACAGAGAATTTAGAATGTAAATGTTACAGAATAAGGATATGTAGGTGTACTGACAGTGCCTAACAATCTTGGAAATTACCAGCATTAAGCATGCTGTTTGTGAATTAATTCATTCACGTTTGTTTTAAAGTTTAAAACTGGTCCTACCTCTCAGTCTTTTAAGCATTACCTTTACAGTGATCTCTGACTCCCTATCTGACATATATGTTTTGTAAAAATGAACAGTACTTAGATGGTCAAGTGAAGGCTTTAAGAGAACTGCACTGATGTGAATCTCTTACTGTGAATCTCTGCATTCAATGACTGAAACAGTAGATAACTAAAGTAGACTGCCATCTCCAAAGTGACCTAGGTATAAGAGGAGCATGATAGCCTACAGAATCGGTATGACTTACCTTCTAAGGCCTGGAAGAACTCAGTGTTCTCCAGCAACTGTATATTTCTTTGTATTTTCCCCATTTTTATGCCAGCATCGCTCAGTTGTGGCAATACCCATACACACGTCACTGGCATTTTCTGACTTCCTTCCCCTCAATCTCCAGGAACACCTTTCACTGCTATGTACTGTCCTTGTCCCTGATGTTATGTTTTATTAAATATGACACTACAAAGTGAAAGGTAGTAAGAGATAACAAGATGGCATGTTTTCGGAAACTGCATCTATGGGTTTGTCTGTTCACAAAGCTTATCCCAGACAAACCTATAGAAAAATATTTATCCTGTATGTCAATATATTTACATTCATAGAACTCCAGAATTATTTAGGTTGAGAGACACCTTTGAAGGTCATAGAGTCCTACTCTTTGCTCAGAGCAGGTCTAACTTTAAATACAAGCTGGTTGCTCAGGATCTTGTCTATTTGAGGGCTGAATATCTCCAAGGATGACAATTCCATAGCCTTTCAGGTCAACTTGTTGCAGTACTTTAGTATACTCATGGTACATTATGAACAATTTGTTCTTAATACCTAGCCATAATTTCCTTTGTTGCAACTTCTGCCAGTTGCTTCTCACTCTAGTGCTGTGCACTTCTAAGAAAAAATTTGCTCCATCTCGTTCATGATCACCCAATGAGGAGCTGAGGAAAAGAATTATGTCCCCATTCAGCTCTCTGTTTTCAAGGCTTAACAAAGGCAAATTCTTCAGTCTTTCCTCATATGCTGCAAAGTTTTCACAATGTTGATGGTTCTCTGCTATTTTTTGTACATTGAAGTTCTACACTTCACAGATGCTTATCAGATGCTGAGCAGAAAGGACTGATGACTTGACCTTCTCTCTATGCTTTTACTAATGCAAGCCAGTATTAGATGAAGCTACCTATGCTTTATCATTATTTGATTACATTGACACACTCCTTCATCTTCCATAGATGTATCCTATCAAGCCTTTTGGATATTTATAAATATCCTCATTGTCTGTGGTCTTGGTTTGGCATTTCTCTTTAACAGATATTATTTCATTCCTCTAAATTTTGCCACCTGGCACAGGACTTGGGAAATTTGAAAGCACATATTGTAAGTAAAAAGCAGATCAAAGACACTGAATGTCATCCACCTCATTCAGCAGTGGGCATACATTTTCTCTGGTATCATTTTTTCTGCCACTGTACCTACACAAATGGGATTTATAAGATAGTTTCTTCTTTATGAGTATTTTTCATGAGGACACAACTGGAAATTCTCCTTGAATAGACTCAATCTTTTATCTACCCAGTCACTAAACATTACTATTTATTGGTAAAAACTCTTTAGCCAGTATTTTCTTTCTTTACATGTCTTAAATCTATTCTGCAAAAAAGAACTTCAAATAAGTTCATTGAAGTCTAGCCCTATATCTAGTGGATACACATTAACTTAAAAAAATATGTTCTCAGAGATGGAATTGCGACTGTAGCTGTGAAAACCACATTTACTTTTCCTCTAGCAAAGTGACTTCTCTGCACCTGGGGTGAAACGTATTGCTGGCAAGACAGCATTCAGGAACTGTTTCCAGACTATGCCTGAATCATTTTGAGGATAATTGAAGGACAAGTCTTAGGGATGCTTAAGCCAGCACTTTCCACAAACATTAAGCAATTTTTTTCAGTGTAATTGTAATCATCTCCATGGCATACTGGCACAGTAACCTTTCCTTTTTCCTTCACAGTTTTCAATTGCCTGGTAAGATGGCTGGCAAAATGAAGATGTTCATATGTTAGACTGCTTTGTCCCTTTTAAAGTGGAGAAAATTCCAACTCAAATGCCCAAAGTTTAGGCATTAAACTAGGTATGAATGCTTTCAATTTTTGATTTATCTTACATTATTCTGTTATGTCGTTTATTCCTGTGCTCTGATTTTCTTCTTTGTCCACCCCTCCCTGCTGTCCTTTATGCCACAAATACTACCTGAGTTATGTGTATATCCTTAAAAGTGTTTATATTTTCAAATTTTTCTATAGATTTATTTTGACATTAGAGACTGAAGTGACCATTTTATGACAAAAAGGCTTCAAGAACTCAAGACCTGTTGTTTGGCCAAATGATGAAAAATAAATAGTATTTTTATTTTTCTGCACCAATGGAGCTCTGGAAGTTGTTTAAATGAAGAAAACTAAATTCTTAGCTTAATAAAAAAAATAAAATTCTTTTTACTTTTTTTTTATATACAGTTCATTCTTAACTGAAATTCTAGAAGTCGTTCACACTGGAAAAATAACTGCAAGAAATATATAGACATTTAGCTTGCAACAAACAAAAGTATAGCTTGTTAGTGGATTGAGGCACTTATTTGGGGATATTGTTTTACTCACTTCCTTATTTGAACTGACAGATCTTAAAACTTTATAATATTGATCACTAAACCACAGTATACCAGGGCACTTAAGTGACTTTAAACCTTAAAAGAGAAAATTAATTAGTCTTAACTTATTATATCTGTCAAATTTGCAGATGACACCAAGCTGAGCATTGCAGGTGACACACCCTGAGGTATGGCACACCATTCAGGGGGACCTGAACAAGCTTGAGAAGTGGGCCCATGGAAACATTGGTTGAGGAAACCCCTGGTACCAACAGGGGGTGAGGGGAAAGGCATTGAGAGCAGCCTAGTAGAGAGGGCTGAAGGTGGTGGGGGATGGAAAGTTAGACATGAACCAGCAACATGTGCTTGTAGCCCAGAAAGCCTAAAAAATTGTATCCTGGGCTGCATCAAAAGTACCATGACCACCATGTCAAGACAGCTGATTTTGCCCCTCTACTCTGCTCTGGTGAGATCCCACCTGGAGTGCTGCATTCAGCTCTGGGATCCTCATTACAACAAAGCCATTGAGTATAGGAGTGGGTGGCCACGGGGGCCACAGAGGGCTGGAGCAGTTTTCCTGAGAACACAGTCTGTGAAAGTTTGGGCTGCTCAGTCTGGAGCAAAAAAGATTTTGGGAAGATCTTCCTGTGACTTTCATTAAAAAGTACTGTGGAAAGATGACTGGCTGTAAAATTAGAGGAAACAGAAGTTATACCCACATCCTAACAGAAGTTAGGTGTGGAAATTATGGTGTAAAATACAATTGTTGTTCCCTAGGTGGAATGCAGTTGGCATGCCCAAAACCTATTCCATGATAATTCCCGATACACATGATCTGGAACTCTAGGCACCTGCTAAGGGGGTGGAATGGAGGGTGGAGCAGAGTGGAGACACTGAAGCCAGGCACTGTTGAAACCCTTGCCGGGAGGAGAACTCAGTGATGCTTTCTTTGCAGCTGAGAAACTGCAAAGAGAGCCAGGGGACACAGGGAAATATATCCTGCTGCTGAGCCAGAAACTCTGGCAAAATCACATTCCTCAGATGAACTTGGTTCATTACAGCATAATTGTAAGATTAGTGCACACCTCCATCCCAAAGTTATCCCCCTTCAGCATATGACCCCC